GGTTTCTACAAGGGTACTATAAGGGCCCGGTTCTATACGGGAAGTTCTCTAAATTAGGGTCCCTTTTTCGCACGCACATATAGTACGGCACCCTTACCAAAAGGTCACAAAAAAGGACCCTAAGTTAGAGAACTACCCATATCTCAACATAGTCTGGGGAGTTGTACTGCCCGAAGTCGAAATCCCACCCAAAAACTAAACTCACAACATGCCGGCCGCTCGCCCCAGTTTAGTTGTCGATGCCATTAAGCCCGGATCGCTTACAACAGACTGTCGATGCGGCAAAAAGGAATGCAGAATGGGTTCAGGACGTGGGGTATCTCTATAGCACCAAAATGGCTTATCTAAGGGTACGTATCCCATGCATGTAAGCCTTGTGGCTGCGTAGGTTCCTTATCATACAAGCTTACAAAACGTACTATAGGGACCCTGCAAAAACATACGTTTCCCTAAACCCTAAACCCTAAACCCTAAACCCTAAACCCTAAACCCTAAACACATAGGTTTGGGTGTTTCAAAGAGGGGGCTCCATACAGTTGAGGGCTTGGGCACACGTGCGAAGTCATCATGCCGAAGAATTTCTCCCCAAACTCGAGCATCCTGCAATGAAGTTCCTTGGCTTCTTCAAAGTACCACGGGTTCAGAGGGGCCTGAAGCCCTAAACCCTAAACCCGCCTGAGCATAGTGTAGCTGTAAGCCCAATCCCTTCAAGTCTTGACCCTAAACCCTAAACCCTAAACCTTGCTTACAACAGCAGCAGTCCATCCCCAAGCTGCATCCCGAAAGCTTCTCCAACAGGAGGTTAGGGTTTAGGGTTTAGGGGTGTGAGATCCATGGATTACGCATATACAGCTTCTGTCTTACATTTCTGTGTAACATGAAATCAGCCAGGTAGTTCTGCAGTTTATGGCGGCTTTATGCAAGTTTCGAGGATTATATAAAAACCTTAAACCTTGTACTTCAAGCAGGTTCAGCATTAGGGAGCCTGAACTGCCGCTGGTCCCCAGCCGAAGCGTCAATCGCTGGCCTCAGGTTTCCACAACCTTGCACTCGAACAGCACTTCATATACCTATACTAGTTTTGGAGTTCCTTGTTCTATATAAAAATAATACATATATATATATATATATGTATATATATAATTGGGCCCAAAACGATATTCTCATTATTAAGGCCCCTAAACCGTAAACCGTTGTGTCAAGAGGCCTAAACGCGCGCTGCTGGGGTCCGGACACTGGATACAGCAGGTCCTGGCCCAGGACTTCTCAAGAGGACCCGGGCCCAAAAAAGGCACGTTAGACCTCCAATATAAAAGCCTAAATAGCCTCTACTATTTTGGTGGTTCCTTATTATAGTTATACTGTAAAGGAGCCCAAAACCCTATTCTAATTGTTTAGGCCCCTACATTACCCCAAGCCCAAAACCCAGAATTTCTGAGGTTGTGAGACACGGTGCGTTCACGATCGCTTTGGGCTCAAGATGCGCCTGGCGCGAATTTAGCATAGGCAAGCAGCCTTTCCGCAGAGAGAAGCCTCGCCTAGGTGGTTGAAGCGCTCAAGCCCCAATGAGGGTTGGGATACAAGGCTTACAAAACGGATTACCGAGGATGAACATGAAGGTTTCTATTACTATGAGGATGATTAAACCTCCAAATCACTGTCCCTTATCATCTTGCAGCCTTCCACTCCAGCTTCAAAAAGGAGGTCTGAGAATTGAAATAGGGCTTCGGCATAGATTGAAATCAAAAAGGAACCCTACGGGCTAAGATCAGTTGGTTAGTCCCCATACTTAAAGCCGCTTCTTCCAAGGTTCCTGGTGTAGGATTTAGGATTATACATACCACTGTGCTATGCCCAAAAGCTGATTCCAATTAGTCCGCCCTAAACCCCTAACCCCTAAAACCCTTACCTAAACCCGAAACCCTAACCCCTAAACCCCTAAAACCCCTACCTAAACCCTAAACCCTAAGCCCCTAAACCCTAAACCCCTAACCCTAAACCCTTAACCCTAAGCCCCTAAACCCTAAACCCTTTCTTGCGTGAAGGCCTGGAGTTTGGGATCCCAAGGACGGTCTAACCCCAAAATAAGAGCAATCCTCCATCTCAAACCATAACTTCAAAATCCTAAAAGGTAAAGGGTTTAGGGTTTGGGGTTTAGGGTTTAGGGTTTGGGGTTTAGGGTTTAGGGTTTGGGGTTTAGGGTATAGGGTCTAACTTCAAAATGGGAGTTTCCGAAAATACGGGGACCCTTATTTTCAGGTCCTGGCAATAAGGATCCTACTATTTAGGGTACTATATTAGGGTCCCCAATTTTCGGAAACCCCGAAATCAAGAAGAGTTCTTATATGAGGTGTCCTTAAAAATGTCACTTGCCTTCATCCCATCGCTAGCGGTCTCCAATATAAGGGGGGTCTGAGGGTTTAGGGTTTAGGGTATCTGAAGATATGGGTGTGGTAAGGATTTGTAGGGTCTTTCTAAGCGTCTGGGATTTGTGAGGAATAATATCAGGAAAACCCCCTTCTTAATTCTAGTAGAATATACCCCCACACCCTGTTCTAAATGGTAATGCCCCTGTAGTAGGCAGTTTGGCGTGGCTTGAGGGCGCCAGACCTCGAAGTGAATTATATGGCATTGCAATGTTTATTAACGGCTTTGGGTTTAGAGTGCAGGGTTCTCTGTGTGAAGCTCTATAAAGGGGCCAGCCAGCCGGAGAGAAATAAGAGTCGAGAGGGATAACCCCAAGGGTCCATGTACCTAAATAGTATAGACTTTGGCCTTAAAGTAGTTCCTATTCGGGTACTCTGGGGCCAAAGTATCTACTATTTGGGTACATGGACTCTTAGGGTAAGAGTCGAGAGACCAATACATGGGTCGGAACGGTGAGTAGTATTTCCTTGTAGTCCCTATATAGCAAATGTACGGTAGTATAATATTCCCCAAAAACCCTTATTCCAAGTCTTTATCGTAGTACAATATTCCTCAAAACCTTGTTCTAATTCTTAAGACCCTAAACCCTAAAACCTAAACCCTAAACCCTAAACCGCCGACCCGTACTTGACAGTTTCATCCTCCAGAGGCTGCTTGAGGCTGTGAGCTCACGGACTGTTGCACGGAAATTAACTGCCCCTGCTGGCCACCGTCGCAAAACATGCTGTCGAGGCTATATACGCTAGGGTTTAGGGTTTAGGATTTAGGGTGGGTGAGAAGGATTGCATACTTGACCGTTTGGGGGGGGGGGGCTTTCGTAAGTACTGCGACCCATCTCGAACCCTAAACCCTAAACCCAACCCTCCAAGCCCAAGACTGAGGGAGTTGTGTTGGGGCTCTTGCAGGCTGCGCGGTTCTTCAGCCGTGGTTTGTGTAGGATCAAGCGCTGCCCCGAAGGCTCTCTAGTTTCTGCGGAGCAATCGTGTTTTGGGTTTCGACTTGCGGCATAGCAAGCTCCAAGCCATGACATGGACTCGAGCAGCCCCTTCCAGTTCTTCTGGTCCTATTGCTGCATTCTCCTCCAGCTCAACCCATCTCAGTGAACCCGACACATTCAATCTCCTGCCTGAGCCGTTCCTACGCGTAGCTTCTTGTTGGCAGCAGGGGCACAGGCTTTGCACGTCCCGGGCCGGGGGTGGGGTCGCCTTCCTGTGCAGAGATCGTGCAGAACTGAAAGTCGTACTGGTAGCTTCGGGACCGAAATGCCGGAAAAGCATGAACATAGGGGCTTCAACAATTACCAATACCATTTCTGTGGTTCCTTATTATAATTAAAGTATAATATACCCCCAAAACCCCATTCTAATTGTTGAGGCCCCTGTACCTTAAGTGTTGAACCTACCCCGTTTGTAGGAGTACTTCGTAGAAGTAATCTACATGTCAGAGCTTGGATGCATCTTCGGTGCAGTTAGTGTTGCTTTGCCTCACCCGTCCCACGTCTCGAGCCTTAATATAGGGGCCTAAAGAATTTCCAATACTATTTTGGGGGGTTCCTCATGAATAGTATAGTATAAGGGGCCCCAAAACCCTATTCCAACTAGTCAAGCCCCTGATATCGAACCCTGTCGTAGATCCGTTTAAGGATCCCTTTGAAGGAACCCTGTTCTAACTGTTAAGGCCCCTGTACCCCGAAACCCGAAACCCTAAACCGTAAACCCTAAACCCTGAACCCTAACCTGTACCTTGTGTCTCTCTTATGGTCACGAATGCTTCGGGTTTTGAATGTTATTATTGCTTCTCAGGGCCCATAGGGTCGGATACCATGATACTGTTGATGAAGTATAAATCCTGCATTACCTTTGGGTTTAGGGTTTGGGGTTTCGGGTTTAGGGTTTGGGGTTTGGTGTTTAGGGTTTAGGGTTTGGGGTTTAGGGTTTAGGGTGTGGGGTGTGGGGTTTACGGTTTGGGGCTTTGGGTTTAGGGTTTAGGGGTTGATGAAGTATAAATCCTGAAGTACCTCAAAGACCATAAACTATGGGAAACTGTGGTGTATTCCTTATTATGGGTACTGCAGGATTTATAGCATCAACCGTAATGGACCCAAGCCCGATCTCTCCAAAGATAAGGAGACGGCGTTTTCGCTACGAAACTTCAACCTCCTGAAACATAAAAGCCTAATTGCCCCATACAGACTTACCGGATCCTTATAAAACCTAAACCCTAAACCCTAAACCCTAAATCTTTAGGTTTATCCATAGCAACCCTCAGAAGTT